TGGTAAAAAAATGCAATATACTCGTAAGTCGTGATATTTCGCATTTTTTCTCAAAGGGAGAGATAAAAAAGTACGGAATGACGTTAGATACTAGCAGGTGAGTCATACCTTTTAGTATGTCATTTTATAAAGTTTCTATCTAATGGCTATGTAATAGTAAATACGGAGTAATAGTAAATACGGGATTTACCAATATAAAGAAGATGATTTCAGGAGTAAAACTTACTTTTAATATAAAATGGCACTTAAATTCCCTTTATAAAATGACTTAATGACGTCAGACATTAGGAGGATTTTGAATGGCATCGAGTCTTAAAAAAGTCTCCCAAAATGCCATGAGAATACGTAAGCAAGCACGTGTTTTCATAAGTGAAATAATTGTAATTAAATGTATTCTCGTCACTGCATAGCGACTTCCATTTTACGTAATGGGTTTTCGCATTGTGATTTGCCGTAATTCAGTATTAACAATGACTGCCCGTAGTTATCTCATTCCCCACGGGTATCTTATTGAGTTTAAAATAAACATGTCTGAAATGCAACTTGCAAATATAAGTGTGAAATTTATAGTTATGACAAAGATAAAAATAAGAGCTTAGAAAGTTTACGTCTTTTACCCATTACTGACGAGTTCCGTCCTTAAATAGATACGGAAGGTAGAAATACTTGTAATAACATTTTTAACTTTAGTCATGAAAAGTAATATAGAGACATCGATTCCCTGGTTGTAAAAGTGATATTAAGACAGGAAATTGAAAATTTATTATGAATTGAAGTCATAAAAATATAACTTTGATGAAAACTTTCTGAAATTGTTAATCCGATAAAAGTTCTATTTCGGGGGGTAGATTTCATTTCGCATACATTTTTACCGGAAGTGCGAATATCGCACTCCATTTGATATATTTCATTACGTTTTACTTTCTTTTCTTGTTATTTTTTTAGTTTTTTTAAATCAAAGGCTCTATTTTCTGTGTTATTTTTTCCTCGAAAAAAATTGCCTCTGGAACAAAAAAGCCATTCAAGTTCCATCAGTCTGTCTCATGTCTCTGCAAATTGTTTATATTTTATTATCAGTCATATTATTTGATTTTCAACAACAAAATGTGTTGTTCAAAAGAAGTGAAAGAAAACAGATAATGATTTCTGATATGATTTTATATAACGTAATCCGACATCAATCTACAGTATAATGACGTTATAACGTGTACTGTTGTCAACCCGATGACGATTACTTTTAAAACTAATAGGTACTCTCTAATCAGCATGACTTATGTTATTTAATAATTACTATCTGATGTGTTCTTTTTACATTTACACTTTCTTAACCGAACAGAATTTCCCGCGATATTTTAAACAGATACTGTCCGTATTTTCTCTGATTTTCAAAAGCTACTTGACTGGGTTAAAGAGGAATAAGTTGGTGTAATTATATATGAAAAGAAAATATTTTGAGGCACACATTTTTGTTGTTGCTGAATAAAATAAGAGGAATTTCACTTTTTAAGTGTTTATAAGTCTTTATCATTGTTTATATTTTATTTTAAAGAAGAAGACTTTTGCTTGTATAAAAATATGCCTTAAAAGCAAATGGTGCATGCACGAAATCATTGCTAAACTGATAGAATTCTACTTAAAATAGCAGCATAATATATTGTTCCAAAATATTTTATTTTGTTTACATACACTTTTCATGTGTGTAAAATAACAAGAGCTTCGTTAACGCTACCACCGTTAACAGTTACCCTCGAGTTGGATCACCGGCTGCCGGTACAGACCGGAATATCTAGCTCGAGGGTAACTGTTTACAGCGGTAACGAGGCTCTGTCGAGTTTCCGCTAAAAAGTTACCCGAGAGCTAGATATTCCTGTCTGTACCAATTGCCGGTGTTCGATTCTTTTTCTTGCATATAACATGTCAATTATTTTCGGAACAGAAATTATGGAATTACGCACTTTTTATTTGTTTGGGTCGTCAGACCAAACAAATAATGGTAGCGAAATTTCAGACTCTAATGCTGTTAATTGCAAGTGCCGAAAATAGTCCGCTTTTTTGAAGCGGTTACTTCCCTTTATATGTAAACTAACGCCGAAAAATTCAGGGGAGATCACTGCGTAAAGATTGTCAAATGACAGGCGCATTAATTTTCAAGCAATATAATTCCCGAATGGTCGAAGATTTCTAATATTGTTTTAATCTTTATAGATATAGATGCTTATAGTAAGCTCCATGATTATTTACATCTGTGTTAATTGTTGTTAGCGTCGTTACAAATCCTAATATAGAATAATATTTTTTTTTCAGGCGATTACCAAATAACTTCACCGTGGCCGAGGGGTTTGCGCGCTAGCTTAGGAAACGAGAGGTCTGGAGTTCAAATCCCAGTTAAGGCAACTGTTTTTTTTTTCTAATTGTTTAAGTCAAAGAAACATTGGATTGAATATCAGTGTTTCAATTAGTCTTATCACTGTTTAAATTAGTCTTATAGCCAATTTACTACAATTAAAACGCTGGAAAGCATTGGTGGCACTTTACAAAAACAAATTGGTTTATAATCTCACAACCTTCACCTCTCTGACATTCTGAGACCCAAACAAATTCAGCGCCTTCTGTGCTTTGATTTCTTATAGTAGCTTATGAACATACAACTTCATTCATAACGGAAAAATAACGTCATCCTAAGAACGCGATTCATTCATAAAAGGCGCTCGTCAATGACGTCAGTTAAAGCACGCGACTTGTCTTACATGGGGTATAAGACAGAGTTTTTTAGCACCGGTGTAAACGGTAGATAATCCTGTCTGAGATGCAAGAATAATAATATCTCGATACCGCTCAATGGACGGGTCCCCTCGGGACGGATAATCGGGTCCGAACCGCAAACATATGTCAGATATTTTTTCTTGCATAGATCTATTATGCCATAATATTTCATATTTAAAATGGTTTACCTCATTTTAATATATGTTCATGGAAATTAGAGTCATTTCGAATTCAAGCATTACTATTTTCTTACAATAGCGCATGAACTTACAACTTAAATTACAACGGCGAAATGACGTCATCCTAAGCACATATTTCCCTTCTAAAACGAAGTCATTTTAACGCGGTTCATTCATAAAGTGCGCTAAAATGACGTTGTTGTATGGCACGCGACTCATCACAGATGAAATTTCTGGCATGGGTAAAACTCACAGAAACGCCAATCTGCTATGCAAGATATTCCGGGAGCCGGTGTAAGATCCTTCTAAGACAGATTTGTATCATAGTTTGCGGACATTTCTGTTGAAAATGTGTCAGAGTTAAATCATAAATCGTATACAAATGGTGGCTGATTTGTGTCATTCGTGTTTTCGTCCCGCGACTCCGCCAAACGAAAGTTAAACGAATAAAACTGCGCCACGCGCCCCCGCCTAGCAAAAAGTCGAAAATAAAAAAGTTAAAATGGCGTGGCGCCGAGCGAAAACACTCTTTTTTTAAATTAAAATTCGCCTTGCGTCCCTGCTAATAAGCGTGTTATCGAACCGCGACCCGCCGTTTTATTTCTTTAATTTCGCATATTCAGATGCTTGTTCATTCAATGGCTACTTTTTCTGGGGTTTCTTATTGTGACAAAGGGGAACATGTTTTATTTTTGCCTATGATACAATAGAGGAAGAACACCAAAACACTGGACAATCTCATTTATACTTAGGGGATACATATTACTCGTACATATCAGGTAGCCTCGTCTTTCGATTGTCTTTTTATAACTTAAATGTGTTGTTAATTTTGAACGATAAGATGCTTTTGCAATCTGATGATTGGCCGATTCCTTCTATTTCGCTTTTGATTACTTAAACATGAAAATTCTATGTAATATTATTGTTATGTGATACGCAGTAAATACTTTTATCTTCATATGTCTTTTTAAAAAAACAACATCCTGCTTAAAGCTTTGGTTGACTTTTTTTTATTAAAAGTAAAAACAAAGTATAAAAAATATATCATAATAAAATATAAAAAGAACATAAAAATACATTTTTTTTCTAGAAATGCTTCTTTATGAAAATATTATGCTGCTAAAAGGCTCATTAAACCGCCCAAATTATATAATTTTTATTTCCAAAAAAACACCCTTTTTGTTATCTTGTTAAAGTTTCTGAAACGTTATTCAATGGCCATATAGATAAACCATCTTTCGCTCTTGACATAGTGATTTGATACTTTGTATGGAAGTAGAAATACTACTTTGTTTACGTTTTGCTACCTTCACGGCACATAATTACACGTTGAGCGCTACTTTCGTCAGCTTTTTAACATCTAGCATACTCTAAATGATAAATCCGTTGAAACGTAAAAGAATTGTTTAACAAATGTTTGATAATTCTTAAGAATAAAACAAATTATGCCTAAGGCTTAATGAGCCTTTAAAATAGTGGATTATTTTTCGTGTGAATTCTAAACAATTTGAAAATATAAACAGCTAGTTGTCATGATTATAACAGAATAATTTTAGCACGTGTAAAAAGAATAATATGATCATGAAATAATGTAAAGATGATATACAGATAAAAGAATAGCTACCAATACATTTACTTAAAATGATTATAGCACTGTAAATAATCTAAAATAATCCTTTCTGTCATGACTGTGAGTCGCTGTCAGTATCTTTTTTAGTGTTTCTGTAATTTATAAGTAGTCAAAAAATCTGTCGATGAACTGTTAAACTTTCCGTTCATTCTAGGTTGCGGCAACAAAGGATAATATTCGACTTCTTTTTCACTAACTGAACATTTAAAACAGAGTACGTTTGGAATACAGGCAACAAACAAACTTTTTTTCATGGCCTTATTATTAAAATTTGTAAACACAATTTATAACAGAGCAGTTCAATTTCTAGATCACTGAGTTCATCTTAACAGTATCATGTTTTATTTATATCGCAATGTTTGCTGTAGCACAACGGGTTTTCACCAAACATGCTATATAGGTTAAAGGTTCCGTTAAGTTTATATGCTTTACCCTCCACGTGCTATGTAATTATCAAGACTTTTATACAGTTCATTTTCTAGATCAACGTACCTCGGATCGTCTCCAAAGCCGTATGTTGACATATGATTAGTGAGGTAAGAAATACCGATATTGTTCTTCAGATCACCCATGGCAACTTGTCCGCCGTTGCCGCAATGCCCGAACATTGGTTCACCCCTAGGATTATCCTTAAAGACTGTGCCGCGTCCGACTGTCGTTTCCACTCCTAACGTAACGTCTTCACTGGAAACGAGAGGTGTTGCTAATATTTCAATGGTCTTCTCGGAAAGAAGGCGTTTGTTGTTTACGTCTACACCACCATTACTAAGTATACCATAAACCTTAGCAAATCCCCGTGCGGTGCCCGTGCCAAAGCAACATGATAAGACATGCTCTCTTACATACGGGTTATTAAGAAATTGAGAAGAACCTTGAGCAAATTCAGTTACCGCTGTCGCAGCAGTGGCAACTAACGACTTTGGATCCGTGGCAAATTTAACGAAAATAGACCCATACCTGGAATCGGTCAAGGCTATTAATAGAGCTTTCCATATCGGATTTTCATACAGTCTAGCGACACGATAATACTCTTCTCTAGGTGTTGCCATATACATATCAATGTCAAACGGCTTTGCAAAGTCTTCAATAAAATATTTGTCCGTACTTCTCTTTTTCGGGTCCACTTTTCGGATAAGAGTGTCCACGTAAGGGCCGTATGTCAAAGAATGATACCCGTGAGCTGAACCGGCTGGCCATACAGTTTTCTGAGCACTTAAACTTTTTTCAACCTTTTCGGGATTTGCACTGATATCGAAGATTCCTATTGGCTCATCAAGATAAATTAGACCTGCTTGGTGACTCATCAATAATTCGAGAGTGATGTTTCCTTTGCTATTCTGGGCGAATTCCGGCCAGTATTTAGCAACGGGGTCTTTGTAATTCAGTAAACCATTTTCGACCATTTTGGCAATCATAACTGCAGCGATTCCTTTAGTATTTGAGAAACCAAGGGTCATTGTGTCCTTCTGCCAGGGACGCTGTGCTTCTAAATCCGCATATCCGCCCCATATATCGACCACCAAGCGTCCTTTATGATACACCGCAAATGCCCCTCCGCGTTCTTTACCGCTTTCGACATTTTCTCTAAACTTGTCTGCAACATTTTTGAACGCCGGGTGATAATATCCATCAAACACTAAAGGTAGCTTCGGTTCAAATAATGATTTAATGTACGTTAAAAGCACAATTAAACAACAAAATGTAACACTCTGTTTGATAAACCCCATATTTTTAAATATTGTTATCGAAATACACGTGTGTATACTGTACTATAGCATAAATGTACGGTTAAAAATTAGAACATAATTTACCGCATGTATGCCAATTTACTCACCAGCGCTTGTCCGATCAATATTTAGTGTAAAGTACACCAGTACACTAGTACTAGTTAATATACTACATCTTTTAAGGTAACCTGAAGTCAATATAAACGTAAAACTTTATGCTTTTTTGTTTTGTCGTTGCTTTTATTCTACAAGCAGTTTAAATTGATTTAAATTGCGAAGATTAATCGTTACTAGTTGAACGTTTGATTGTTTGAATGATTTTATACAAACCTACAAAGCAATAAGGCAGATAAAGATATCATCAATACACAAATTCTTAAAGGTATTACGCTTTATCTAATGAAATTATTTTGTAATTTTTATAGAACATTTATAAACGGTAAAATTATGTTGTATTTTTGTTTATTTTTATTTATTTATTTATTTACTTATTTATTTATTTTACAGTCTTATACTGGGGACTATATTAAAAACATGTAATTCATATCATACTATAATTTACCTTTTTTTTAATCATGAAGTCATTCAAATCAATGAAAGTGGAAAATTGGTTATAGACCTTGTATGCTGATAGTTATATAAATATTTATATTTACAGTAACTTAACGATAAAGATGCAAGATAGTTTACTAACATAACTTGTAGACATATATTAAAATTTCTTGATAATCCATTGGGCTTGTAAATAAATAAATTAATCAAACTTGTAAACCACGGCAACATAAAGGAGAGACCAAACATGACCTTTACAGACAAGTGGCCTTTACATGGAGGTTACTCTGTTTTATGTAATCAATGAAAGGTTGTAGAAGAGTTACTTTTATTTACAGGGTGATCTTTTTCGGAGGTGGTCTTTCAAAACGGGTTAACTGTGTGCAACATTTTATTTTATTACGCCTTACTTTTTTCGTATTGTTAATTTCCCATAGTAAAAAAGTAAACATCCGTTTTCAACAAATAATATATGTCAAACTGGAACAGGCAGACGATTTAAGCATTCAAAAAAGGATTATTTAACGATTTTAATCAGTTGAATATTATGGATATGGTGGAAAGACATAAGATAGCATCGTTATTTTGTAAATGCACTTTGTCAAAAGTCATGCGAAGAATTTTCTGGATACAGAAGGATCCAGATTTCGTAGATTACAACCGTATAAATGGGTTAGTGTTTTGTTTTCCAAATAAAACACAGCTAATTGTATGTTTATGACTAGTAGATATCATCACTTGCTTAAAGAATCAAAGGAAAATAATTTCTCTAGAAGGCCTAAAGTACAGTACACTTTAAAGATCCTGTATGTCTTGTGATTGATATTTTTACTGCATGAATACCACACTAGCAAAAAATTATATATGTACATATTTATGCAAATAAAACAATTTTCAAACATCGAAGAATATGTAAAATGTGTACTGCAAATATTTGTGCACATTATATTTAATCAATAAATTACAGGCATTCATTTCTTATTGGAAAATTTGACTTAGAATTTATAGAAAATATATTTCTAATTACCTCCCTTTTTTACATGAAATGTTAAATTGGGTAATATCTTTATAAATAATGCTTATTGGAACTTACAATATTGACAAGTCTTAATTTGAGCATCATATTTATGAAATAAAACCATGAAAAAAATGTGTTACAGGATCTTTAAACTTGCAAGGTAAGGACAGTTTAGTTATTGTAACTCTTGGTTTGATTTTTTTTCCAGTTAGATTTAGTTGACTATTTAAGATCATCGCGATCGCAGTATTTGTTCGGGGTAATAAAAGAAATAGCACATGGGTTTGTGAGTATCAGTAAAAATACCATCCCTCGTAAAAATACTGTTACTGCTAACGCCTCGGATAACAGTATTTTCCTCGGGATGATATTTTTACTATTACCCACAAACCCATGTGTTATTTATATACTGTCTTGCATTAAATGTCATAAAGGGCTTGAACGATTATAGTTAGTTATTTAGGTATTTGTCCAGTAAAATATTAATTTCCTGTCTTAATTTCAAGTAACATACAGATGTCATAAACTAATAACATTAATACTCAGAGGAAGTGTGTAATTAATACTGGACTTTGATATTTGAATTTAGCAATGCAAATAAGATATATAACAAAAAGAGCTTCGGATAAGGACCTCGAGCACAATAGTATTAATACACAGAACGGCCTTATCTACGCTTCAAAACAGTAAACGACTTTTTTGTGTGTGTATTTTTCTCAATCACAATTTCTACCGAAATAGACTTTTGATGACAAATATATACACTCGTTATACACTATACATAAACAAAGATTGTATCCTCTTTTTTTTGTTTACATCTAAAGTCACATGGTAGAACAATCTTAATTCGTATCAAATCTGAGATGATTATGAATAATCATCGGGTTGTTCGGATTGAAGTCATATTCTGGCTGATAATCTAAGGCAAACATAAATTTCTTGACTAGTTGTACCTCAGGCTACCACCCTAAGGTGATTTCTTTTCAATTTCACTCCGATTTGAAGCGCATTTTTATAACGTTTGACACCGGACTAACTTTCATAACGAAAATGCAGTAAAAGACAAAGAACAAGAATAGTTCAAACTGTTCATGACACACTTTATGAAATTCTTGGGGAAGTCAACAACACTCTTCCTTCACACGTAAATCACGGTATTCATCTTTGAATTATCAATATTTACCGTTTTCTCGAAATTGCACACAAGCAACAGCAATGCCATTATTTAAATATCAAGATTAATCAGGCGAGATTGATATAAGCTTGGAAGGAATGAGGCTTTTTATAACCTTCCTCCTCTAAAGCCCAGTGGATGTAGAGGCACATATGTTGATATGTAAGTACTAAACACACAATAAAGTACATTGTTAACGTGCACAAAATGGCATTCATCCCCTACGTGATTTGCAAAATACGACAGACCGATGGGGAAATTTAAACTTCATGAATTGACGATGTTATGTTCGTGAATACATCATACGCGATTTAAACGTTTTCAACATACGGAATTCACGAATTCACGATTTCTACTTCATGAATTCACGATTTCAACTCACGAAGTCACGATTTCACCTTCATGAATTCACGATTTCAACATCAAGCATTCACGTTTTCAACATAAGGAATTTACGAATTCATGATTCAACTTCATGAATGCACGATTTCAGCTTCTCGAAGTCACGATTTCACCTTCATGAATTCACGTTTTCAACATATGAAATTCACGAATTCACGTAAATTCGTGAAGTTGAAATAGTAAATTCCAACAATGCATAGACGTTCTCTTATGTTAGAAGTGTAAAAGTTAACAACTTATGAAAAACAATCCCATTTTTAAAAGTAGTAAGTTGGTTGCTGTGAGGGCGGGTTTTCGCTACTCCAATTACTGAGTTCTCTGTCTTTCTGCTTAATGAATTCATGATTTCAACTTAACGATTTCACGATTTCACCTTCATGAATTCACGATTTCAACTTCAAGAATTCACGTATTCAACATACGGAATTCCCGAATTCATGGTTTCAGGTTAATGAATTCACGATTTCAATTTCACGAAGTCACGATTACCTTCATGAATTCACGATTTCAACATCACGAATTCATGATTTCAACATCAAGAATTCACATTTTCAACATAAGGGATTTACGAATTCACAAATTCAGCTTCATGAATTCACGATTTTAACATCACGAATTCACGACTTCAACTTCAAGAATTCACGTTTTCAACATATGAAATTCACGATTTCACGTGAATTCGTGAAGTTGAAATAGTAAATTCCAACAATTCATAGACGTTCTCTTATGTAAGAAGTGTAAATGTTAACAACTTATGAAAAACAATCCCGTTTGTAAAAGTAGCAAGTTTGTTGCTGTGATGGCGGGTTTTCGCAATTCTAATTACCGCGCAATTTTCTGTCTTTCAATTCACTGCAGAGAATTTATTCAACGCGCGCGTAAAAGTTTTTAAGCTTTTGCTCACTTTTGTTCTATAAATTTATGTATCAACAATACCTCAGGTATTTTTTTCCATGTCTTTTAAAATGCATCCGCTTTGTTTCTACGCGTTAAATATGAACTCCGCGTATCGAACCATATGAAGATACATCGAAAAGTGACATTAATTAACCATGACAAGTATGCTGTTAAGTACATTCTCACACATATCCCCACTTGTTATAACACGTTTAGATCAGGATCCATGCTGTTCTCTATCAGTTTCTCTACTTGTTATAGTGTTTGTAAGCGAACAGCATGGATCCTGATCAGACTGCGCGGATGCGCAGGCTGGTCTGGATCCATGCTGGTCGCAAACGCATTTCGTTGGTTTTGTCGTGACGCGGCTCATATAAAATTTGCAGTTTCCATGAGATAACTGTGACATAACAGTTGTTATTTTTCACTTGACACAGAAATCACCACCCCCGTTATCTAGCGGAAAAGACTGCTTAATGCAGGTAGAACTTACTAGTCTTACTAACTATAAGTTTTAACCGAATTACAAAAATATGTTCTTCTTTTTTGCCTCTTTTACAGACATAAATTTCTATGATATTTTGTGCCGCAATCGATTGCAGGATCAAGTTCATACTTGTAATGCCCAAAACCAACGGATCTACTTGCAACTAGTTAACGAGTTTATTATTTAAGTCAATATTTACACACAAAAAACGTTGCAACGGCTTAAAATGTTGTTGTTGTGTTTTGTTTGTTGCAGAATTCTGCGTCCCTTTACGCATAAATTTTGACATGTACGCATAAAAGTTATCCACTTGCGTCCAAGTGTACGCACAAAAAAAAATGCTAGTCAATACAATAAATATTAATATTTCTGATCTGTGTATTCTAAGTTAAATAAACGTCCATCCGCCCTTTCAACGGACCCGATTTGCTTTTATCTGTTTCTACAGTCAATAACTGGGATTTACCGACTCTAAAAATAGTAACATACGATTCCAGGGTTTATTTATGTTAGCCAATCGAACGGCGTATAAATACAGTAAACTTCACATATAGCGAACACGGTTATAGCGAACTTCCGGTTATAAGGAACAAATTTTTTTGGCCCGAATTTTGCCCTTCTTTATTTAATGTAAAAAGTTACGGTTACAGCGAACACGGTTATAAGGAATTATCGCTTATAAGGAACTAATTTTTTAGTCCCAATACTATAAAAAGTACAGAAAATTACACTTTTATAACGAACTCCAAAATATCGGCTATCCGTAAACAAATCACGCATTTTCTACTGTCGTTTTCATCGGCACAGATTAAAACTTCGCCGAATGTAGCGGATATATTAGGAACAAAAAATGACGATGACAGTCAATCTTCCGAAGACGAGATCTATTTAGATGATCTGCCGGTTGTGTCAAAAAATGAAGCTATTGATTGTTTGCACAAGATTAAGTCATACTTCGAGTCTAATGCACATAAAAATTCATTGGATATTGAATTTAACTTGAAGAGTTGTAAACATTTCCAAACTAAAAATAGCGACTTCTTCAAAGCAAAGTGATTATTTTTGTGCATGATACTGTATCGTTCATAAATAACAATATTGCATATATGGTACATATCATATATCTTATAGATATATATTTATAAATAAAAATTATATTAAAAAAAACAACATTGCAACTATTCCTTTTTTTAATCAATATAAGGGAGACAACAATGACGAACCAAGAGTTATTTCTCTTAATCAAATGCTCTTCTAAATGGAGGACGATGGTAAACAATTAGTTCGTTATATGTAAAACTGTTCGCTATAAAGACTTCTGATACAAGGAACTAATTCGCTATATGCTTACAAGGAACTCCGGATATAAGGAACAGATTTTGAATGTCCCAATGAGTTCGTTATAAGCGGAGTTTACATAACGCTGTGTGCGGATGATTTCGGGCATGTTTGTTAGAACGCTGCAAAATGTCGACACGAGCTAAATTGTTTACTTTTTTTTCGGGCACAAGAAAGAATGATGATAATGATCAATCAAAAGATAATACCGTCTGTTCAACCGACGACGGAGAGTTATCAAAAACTGCATCTGTTAAACGAGAGCGTAAATTTCTATCGTCATGGCTAGACAAATTTAAATGGCTGCGTTACAAAGACGATAAAATGTTCTGCGACATTTGCTTTTCCGCAAAAAGTTCCACAAACCCATTCACAGAAGGGTGCATTAATTTTCAATTATCAACCCTTAATCGCCACCAAGTAATTAAAGTTCACATGAAAAGTTTGCAAACTATAAACATGCGTTCTAATTTTGAATTTGTTATAAAAAATGTTGCAGAAAAAAATGTCGCGGACAGCGTCGGTAAGTTGAACGAATATGTAGTACAGCTGCGTACCGTATATACCATGGTAAAACGTGACTTTCCAGCTGATGCATTTTGTGACTTAATGCAGTTACAATGTTTAAACGGTTTAAAATGTGAATTCTACAAAAGACCACAAATAATAATGGAAATGGAGGAATGCATTGAGAAGGTACGGAAGAGTATTAGTGCCAGGTGTATGTTTTTTATTAACTCGAAATTTCGACTTACTAACTCGAAATTTCGACTTACTAACTCGAAATTTCGAGTTATTTATCTCGAAATTTCGACTTACTAACTCGAAATTTCGACTTACTAACTCGAAATTTCGAGTTACTTATCTCGAAATTTCGACTTACTAACTCGAAATTTCGACTTACTAACTCGAAATTTCGACTTAGTAACTCGAAATTTCGACTTACTAACTCGAATTTTCGAGTTACTTATCTCGAAATTTCGACTTAGTAACTCGAAATTTCGACTTATTAACATTACAAGAAAGGCCAAAGTTATTAGTTAGATGGTATAAGATATAGTAGGCAGTGCCTTTGAACGATGGAGATGGAGAAACGGGTGCCTGGACAAAAACTATTGAAATTAAACTTAAACTTAGTAATGGCATGTACACACCCGACCTAAAAAAAAACAAGGCTTCCTTTAATTTGTACGTTCAGGCGTTCTTCAGTCGTTGTATTGTATCCCATCTGTTCGAACATATCTTTTCACTAATCATATTCTTCTCATCCCTGTAAAAAAACCGATCCTATACTTCACGTGTGGGACATCTGAGGAAAGTATCGTACGTGGCGTGGCCAAAGTAGGGCGTGCTGAGGCCTTTGTCAAAATTGTTGGACTGACTATATTTCTTGTAAAATCGGATGCTTTTATATTATTCCCAACATATATATAACAACAAGTATCACTTTTATCAACTTTTATCAACACAATATCAAAGTATTAGTAAATAATGAATAATGTTACAAAAACATTATTAGTATAAAGGAACGTGACAGACTAACTGGCGTATACACGCCAATTAAAACTTATTTCACACATGATATTGCACAGTTTACAATAATGTTGTTTCTCCACATGATGCATGATGGTTGTATGTGTGCTTAAGAAAAAGAAACACCCGGTTAACACAGAAATGTGGAAAGTGTGATTTTACAACCCCCCCCCCTCCACAAAAAAGCGAAGGATATGTTCAGTATGTGTGGACAATTTGACCCTATAAAATTGTTCTGTTAAATAAATGTTAAAGGTGCTCTGTCAATGTGCAACAGCTACACACGAAAGAAAGTATCTTGAATTCAATCCTTGCTTTCACCGGCAACCAATGAAAGTCGTGCAATGTAAGTCGAAATTTCGAGTTAGTAAGTCGAAATTTCGAGTTACTAACTCGAAATTTCGAGATAAGTAACTCGAAATTTCGAGTTAGTAAGTCGAAATTTCGAGTTAATAAGTCGAAATTTCGAGTTAGTAAGTCGAAATTTCGAGTTAGTAACTCGAAATTTCGAGATAAGTAACTCGAAATTTCGAGTTAGTAACTCGAAATTTCGAGTTAATAAAAAACATACACCTGGCACTAATGCTCTTCCGTAAGAAGGTGTTGAGTACTGACCTGATTTAAAAATTAAAGGAAGTAAATTTATTGGTGTTATGTTGGACGAAACTTGTGATATCAGTGTCCATAAAAAACTTGCTATTTATGTGAGATATTTTTATAATGGTGAAATTTCCGTAGCTTTTGTTGGAAATGAACAAATAACAGATTGTACAGGGGCGGGTATAGAATCTGCCTTGCTTGAATTTCTTGTTCGAACAGGAATTTCAAATGATAATTTAATGAATGTATTAGGTTTAGGTACCGATGTTGCCGCAGTTATGACAGGCTGCCTGAATGGTCTAGGTGCCAAGTTAAAAGCAAGAAATAATAAATTGCTTCAGGTACATTGCTTGCGCATAGGTTAAATTTAGCAGCTTCACAAGCTGGCAAAGATATCAATTTCTGTAAATGGTACCATGAAATGATACATTCACTTTACAAATATTACTCTGATTCCTCATTTAGGTATGATAAACTTAGGGAGTTGCAAGAAATATTGATTGGTAAGTCTTCTCAGATTACTGAACCAACAACAGTTAGGTAGCTGTCAGTTGAAGCTGCTGTAAAAATAATATTTTCAAACTATGGGCCAGTGTACCAGTCTCTGGAAAGTGACAAAACTGCAGGGAAAGCAGATGGTCTTCTTAAATTTATTGCCAATGCTAAGTTCTTGTTGTTTACAGCCTTACTAATTGATGTTCTAACAGTCATTGGCATACTTAGTTTAACCTTCCAGAAGGACTTGGTAAATATTTCACATATAAGAGCAAGCATTTCAGCAACTAAAGCTACATTAGAAACAATGAAAACAAGATCTGAAACTGTTTCAAAGGTATTAAGTGAAGTGGGTGATATTCCAGAGCCTGGCAAAAAAAACAAGTACCAGCAGTTAGAGGTAACTGATAACCAGCAGACTAGAGATGAGTTCAGTAATCTGAGGCAGACATACATTGACACATTAACTCTGAACTTAAATAATAGATTTCCAGAAGACCAGTTACAAACTCTGGAATGCTTTGATATAGTATTAAACCCTAAAAGGTACCCAGACCAAGCAGGTGACCTGCCAAACTATGGCAATGATCAGCTTTCTTCACTCTTAAGTTTTTATGACACATTAGTAAACAGTGAAAGAGCTAAGTCTCACTTTTTAATGTTCAAGCATTTTGTAAGGTCTCAAAAAGCTTTAACATTTGATAGCTTTATCAAGTTATTAATAAATGAGTATGAAGATGAATTTCCAGACTTTGTGTTACTAGGAAAAATAGCAATGATTATTCCTGTGTCTTCAGCACCATGTGAACGTGGATTTTCCGTTCAAAATGCCCTGAAAAATAAAGTGCGCAACAGATTGAATGCATCAAGACTTAACAGACTTATGTTCATAAAGCTGATAGGACCACCTATTGAACATCTGGATTTTTTGCCAGCAGCAAAGATATTTGCTGAAGGTGCACAAGGCAGACTCTAAGACTAACCCTTGAAAGGCACATGATAATAAAACAAACTTTTAAAGTGATATTGAAATCATGTATACTTATAAACAATAATATAAATAATTATGAATATAAAATTTCTTGCAGGATAAATAAATGATTTTCAGCAAAATTGAGTGGTCTTCATAGTCTTTTTCAGTAAAAATAATTTCCGACCCCTAAAATTTAGGCCTGGACTTCTACTTTTCTAGTCTGTGCATCCACTGGACCCCTAAAATATTATCAGTGATGTAAAACCCAGAAACAGTGATTTTGTTTTACTTTAAACTGTCTTTATTTTGGATATAAGATAAATAGAATATTATATTCGTGTTCGTGTAGGGTCATTACTGAACTATTGAAGAGACTCGCAGAATACAATTCCAACTCGTTCAAAATAATAGTGACTCGCATAATATAATTTTATTGAACCTACACTCATTTAATATCCTCTATAAATGTAAATATCGTAATTGAGCTTCTGCATGATGAATATTCAATCAGGGATGTTATATAACTGATCATTGAAGATCGTTCGCTACGATATTATTGCTGCATTTGTGGTATTTATTTCTTTCTCGGATGGTTCGAGTGTCTCTATTGCATGCTGTGTAAATACCCAAATATCTCTAAGAATATGGTGCCTGTTTATTTTTATACATATTATTTTCATTTTTTTAAACTTATTTTTTCTTGTGCCGGCAGTCTGAGATATGCAGGTTTCAGAAACTCTGGCCCCCTTTCAAGACTTTCTTTAGGGATTCTGTATTTATCTATTTTATGATCACATCCGTGTTATTTGTGCCGTGTGGTGGCTGTAAAAAGTCTCCCCGTACATTTAATCAATGATGTTATATTTTCGATCCTTGAAGATCGTTCAGCACGTCATTATTGTTGTGCTTGTGGTATTTTTAGTTTCAACTTTTCGGCATTTTCTAGTTGGGTGGTTCCAATATTCCTACTTGAATAATGTTGAATCACTCTTAGGATATGTTGCCTGCTTTTTAAATTTGTCTTTTGACGTCTTATCTGTGATACGCAGGCTTCATAACCTCTGATCCCCTTTCAAAATTCCATTTAATTAAGTCCCGCCCATTGTTTTCTCGTTTAGGGCACACGCTTTTTATTACTTGGGGACCATACGCCGCTTTTCATGGAATGGCACGGAAGTGTCACATTGAAGGTTCCATGATAACCGCCGTATGAACACATCTGCGGATGTTTCTAAATTCAAAATTTTACTATTTCATGTTAAATGTTGAATTCTGCTTCAGCCGGTGCTAGGGGGCGTGGACGGTAACTTGCACTTTCCAGTACCGTCCATGAACAGGCTCAATCAAACCGAGCCTGCAACATTTTCAATTTTGCCGTGTTGGGCTTTCTTTAGGAATTCTGTATTTATCTATTTTATGATCACATCCGTGTTATTTGTGCCGTGTGGTGGCTGTAAAAAGTCTCCCCGTACATTTAATCAATGATGTTATATTTTCGATCCTTGAAGATCGTTCAGCACGTCATTATTGTTGTGCTTGTGGTATTTTTAGTTTCAACTTTTCGGCATTTTCTAGTTGGGTGGTTCCAATATTCCTACTTGAATAATGTTGAATCACTCTTAGGATATGTTGCCTGCTTTTTAAATTTGTCTTTTGACGTCTTATCTGTGATACGCAGGCTTCATAACCTCTGATCCCCTTTCAAAATTCCATTTAATTAAGTCCCGCCCATTGTTTTCTCGTTTAGGGCACACGCTTTTTATTACTTGGGGACCATACGCCGCTTTTCATGGAATGGCACGGAAGTGTCACATTGAAAGTTCCATGATAACCGCCGTATGAACACATCTGCGGATGTTTCTAAATTCAAAATTTTACTATTTCATGTTAAATGTTGAATTCTGCTTAAGCCGGTGCTAGGGGGCGTGGACGGTAACTTGCACTTTCCAGTACCGTCCATGAACAGGCTCAATCAAACCGAGCCTGCAACATTTTCAATTTTGCCGTGTTGGGCTTTCTTTAGGGATTCTGTATTTATCTATTTTAATTTCATTGCATTTTTTTTTGCTGCACAGTGTTTTCTAGAAGAGAGCATATTCTTTTACTCGGGGACGACAAAACGTTCTTTTTCATTGGTCACATTGAAGGTTCCATGATCACTGCGTACGAACCAATGTACTGATGTTAATAAATTCAAAGAATCTCATATTTAAGTTTATACATTGAATTCATTCTGCTAAAGCCGGTGCTAGGTGTGCTTAACGGTAGCTTGCAGCTGGAACCAAGCTCGATAAAATCCAGTCTGCAATATTTCCAATTTTGCCCTTATTTTAAGCATCATTCCACTTATTTCTACTACAAGGTATTAAAGAATTAGTTACAATAGCTTATAGTACCTCTTCCCATGGCACTAAAATATTAAGTTTATAGAAAGATTCCTAGATTCATTGATAATATTTCATAAAAACAGTCTTTTTTTGCATGTTTTGCAGAATTTTACTTCAATGAAATTAGTGGCGTATAACCTTAAGTAGTGAAAAGCATTCCCTTAAAGCAATTATGAAATCAATATTACGAGATGCTTAACGTAGATATACAGATGTTGCAGTGACATATTGCCATTAATATCAGACACGTGACATAGATATTGAATTGTGTGAACAATTAATAACACATAAAGTTATGAAATTCAATCGCGGTGCTATTAAAAACTAGGATAATGACTGTAAGATGAGATTCCATGTTCTAATAAACCCGTAAACTATAGTTGATTCCCAATGCGAACATATGACATTGTCTAAAAATGTCCGGTTTAGTGTGGATATTGGATACATGTTTTATCGTATAACATTGGTCAAACTTGTTTAATTTACCAACACCGTTTAGTATCAAATATACATTGCCGTTCACCAGATATGAATGAAAAGCCTTTAAAACCATTCATGCATATGAAATACATTGATAACCATTATTTAATGCATTGACTATTGTTGCAACACGGTAAGCAAGTAGACCGATGTCTTTCATGCAAGTATATTAAAACGACCATCGGCTTTTCTAAAAGTTAAGTATGTCCCCTTTAGATTAATCGTGTCATATAATTGTCTAATCAAAAGAATTAAAGTGGAAAATGAAATTTACAGACGATAAAATACATTAACAATATTAAGGAAATTTCTCGATACCTCTTATCTTCCGGTCCGCTCTCTATATTTAAATTAGTTAAACGGACGATTCATTTCCAGATCTTCTATTTTAGAAGCAAATGTCACTTACTTGTTATAAATATGTCTCAGAATACCATTTAGAAGAAGGCCTAACTGTGATATGATGCACTTTTCAAAGATGAAATTATTGAAAAACTTAGTTTGAAACAACACAGAATTGTTTTTTTTTCAACCGAAAATAAAAGCTCTGAGATATATATTATTACCCGATTAACAAAAACATCCAGTAATCTGCTCTCCTGGAAAACTATCCAGTAATCTGCTCCCCTGAATAACTATCCAGTAACCTGCTACCCTGGATAACTATCCAGTAATATGCTCCCCTGAATTACTATCCAGTAACCTGCTTCCCTGGATAACTTTCCGGTAACCTGCTCCCCTAGATAACTATCCAGTAACCTGTTTTCCTTGATAACTTTCCAGTAACCAGCTCCCCTGAATAACTATTCTGTAATCTGCTCCCTTGGATACATATCCAGTTACCTGCTCCCCTGGATAACTTTCAAGTATATCAAATGACCAAAATGACATAACTTGAACTCCATACCGAAGCATATTATGAGGCATATATGATGACCTGAAGAAAAGAGCATTGAATGTCAAATAATCTGTTAGAAAGGACTGTAACAAAATGTAAATAAAGTTGTAAGTTGGCTTTTATACCAATTACTTATTCAATATAGCTGTACTCATTCTAAAAGCTCAAAAAGTGGCAACATATGGCTCAGGTATATGGCCCCTGAGTCACTTTTCTGAAACTTTAATATAACACTTCTTTTTCTTCCTCTTTTGGGTACCTCTACGTGGTGAGGAGGAGTAACATGTGTCCGTTATGGGGGTGCGCTGCTGTGCGCCTGTATGACGCACATATGGCCAACACCCAGACTGCCTGTTTGCCGTGGGCAGCGTCCCGTAACCTAGAAAGGAGGGTCCTGGTAGTTGAAGGATACCCAGGGATCTCCAGTACTCCTAACACACTGCTTTGGCCTCTGCTTTAGGGTAGACGGGTGACCAAGTGAGCCCGGCTTTGGTCAATCGGCTGGTCATGCCTTGCCCTTGGATATATATTTCTTAAATACTTGAAAATTTCATTGAACTTACACGGTCCCGAAATGAATACAATTCAATGCACACAAATTATTTAAAATAAAAAAAAATCTGAGTTTAAATTTTTATTCCTACTTGTGTTTCTAGTATACCTTTAATTCCTACTGAAACTGCTATGATGGGTGCCGTTATGTTAAAACAATATTTCATATATGCATTATAAATACAGTATAACATATCCAAGAAGGCGGTGGCTAATGGGCTAATTGTGTAGGTTGTAAATATTTGCAATTTATGCGAAAATATCTCTCTGGTATCCCTGATGTGCGGAGACTGGATATCCGTCTCCATCGCACATCCCCATGTTGGAGTCCGAGGTGGCTGGGGAACCCGGGAGACGAATTTTAATACCTTTAAGCATGGATAAACGAAAATCGCACGATGATTCAAGTGGTAACATTTCATTTGATGGAAGTTTTCCCCGTTTTCTAATAATCAAATCAAACGGCTCCAAATCACTTACTGAACTTAGCCCCTTCATTATAGAAAAACAACTTTCGGCTTTAATTGGAACACCTAAATCTGTCAAGAAACTCCGCAATGGAGGACTCTTGATAGAGGTAGAGCGGAAACAACAATCGGACATTATTCTGAAATGTACCAGCTTTTTTAACATTGACATAACTGCCACACCACACCAGTCTCTAAACTCCAGCAAGGGCGTCATCA